TTCACTGATTCCCAGTACTGCCAAGTTGTATCTCCTCATTTCCGTTGCTATTTGACTGGTCTTCCCGGTCTCCCACATTGTCCGGACGTTCCATGTACCTATAAAAATTGTTGCTCTGGTTGTTAGAAGGGACATCGGCCTCGTGGCTTCCGAAGGAACTCGACTTTCACCATGAAGCGTCATATTACCTCTAACTCCCAGGACAGAGTTTAAATGGTTTGAGTTATTTTTTCTGGTTAGCGTTTTTTTTGCGAGTTACTTTTCTACGGGATGGGGATGATAACCCCATGCCCAACCCTCCTCCTTTACCCGGGCTTGGGACCGGCAGTAACTCTGAAAGAGCTACAGGCGGAGTTGTGATACTTTATTACTCAAATGAAATTGTAACCGATTTCTCACTTATCGGAATATAGACTGAAACCTGTCTGTTTCAAAATGACTCAAAGATATAACTTTATAAATGTTATAAAGTCACTTACAGCAGACAATTCTATACGTTCATAAAAAGCAGCTGTTACAGCTACAAAAGTATTCCTTAGGGAACGTATACATAAATCCACTTTAAACTTGGAATCTCTACGTTTACATATAGCAAACATTGATAGTGCTTTATCACTAATTATACCAACAGAATTAAAAGCAAATGTTAATGAAAAAAAGATATTTCCCTTGAAAAAGCTTGGACCAGATTGCCAGGCAAAACGTTGGATTTACTTCAAATACATTCTCCCTCTTTAAGTCATTTATAAGATTGTTCAGCATAATCTGTACAATATATGAACAGATCACAGAATGTACCTTAAGTTTTTCTACATAATAAAAGTTTTTTGAGTATATTTGATTATTTGATATAATGTTATTTGTTTATTTTATAGTTAATTCTGAATGTTAGAAAACCAGTCTATTATTTGAGATATTCGATACTGTTGTCTCTGGCCAAACGAACCATGAAATCTGTACGTCATTATAAAGACATAACTCATATTATTTTGTGTTCACTCAAACAGTAAGTCTGTCACTGTAATTGTGTACTTTTACAAATACATTTGTTTATTTGCGATGTGATAAAATTATGTGAGTGCATAATTGTAGGTAAACATTTACGGTCAACTGTTGTTAAATGATCTCTGTTTTTATCAGTTATGTGTAGACTTAAAAAAACTTGAGTTATAGTAACACAATTTTTCGTTTTAAATTTCTTATTTCTCCACTTGACTTGAATACAAAAAAGTAAACAATCTGATTACTTCAAGTTTTTCCAACATTCTTATGAACTATATATGCTTATGAATTTGAGTGGATAACTGATACTTTAGTTTTCAAAACCACCTTAGCCTGTGAGGAATGTAGAATACTGAACTACAACAAGTCATGCAATTAGAAAAGTTACATTCTAAAGCTGATAAAATGTGCTCCAGTAAAAAGAGAGAATGTAAACAAATGAGTGATTGATAAGAAAACCTGATCTAATTCAGTTTTTTTTCAATCTGAAGTTTATCAATAAAATGTTTATAAAAGTAATAGAAATAAATATTAGAATCCACCTTGAAAGATTACTGGTATCACAGTTTTCATGACATTCGTATTCGAAAATGATTCATATCAGAAGCTAATGACAACTTGAGAAATATTAATGAAAATGTAGTAGCTGGACAGCTTAAAGGATTAGGTTGTGCTATTGATAATTAATAAACTATCAGGCTTTTCAGGACTCAGTTGCTAAGTAAATGACGCGATGACCTTTGAAGCTAACAATACTGGCTTCAAGTCCCAGAGTGAACATCAACTCTGAGATGGAGGTACATCCAGCTGACGAGTCCTAAATAGAACGAAACGCTCGTCCTGGATTTCACTGCTAGTCATTACCCATCTTTGGTTATATTAATAAACTTTGTTTATTACTTGGATGTATGAGAACAGCGTTATATAACAAATTAACTGACATTTTATATATTACCTATTGAATTCCTATGCAATCAATTACTCGGATAATATTTGTCGCAATATCTATGTTATTGGATGTAGTATGAACTTTTTAAGCACATATCACAGTTTAGTCTTAAATTAGAATTAAATAAGTCAGGTAATAAATGACGATTGACAACAGATCATCATAAACCGTCATGGTGACTGAAGCAATAATATTGTTTGCATGATAAGGATGTGAATAAATGAAACCATTAAAAATTTTTCTCTACCTTCATTGTTCCAAAATCTAGACGTTAAAGTGTTTTGGAATTGCCAACAACTTGGTAGGCACGCCAACTCTGTTCTGAGAAATTAGTTTTAGTTATCTCCAGTTGCTATTCATCCTTTTCGTGTCTGCTTACAATTCTCGACACGATTTGTTCTTTGACATTCCTCTTTTCCATTTCCCTACAGGATTCCAAGTTAGTGCTTGCCTCTTGATACAGTATGGTGATTTATCTGATGTATGTCTTATCTAATTTCATCGTCTTTTCTTAATTTCCTCTTCATATGGATATTAGCTTGTTCACTCCCACAGTAGGGTGTTACTGATGGTATCCGGTCAACGGATGTTAAATATCTAGGCATAAAATATATGATTATGCTAAACAAAATTAGAATTATGTAATTTGTTTTCTAAAAACGTTTCTTAAGTAAAAGTAAATGCTAATTAATCGATTTTTTCTACTTCATTTTAATAATATGAATCTTTTATTTTTTACTTTCATAAACTTTGTTCTACACCTCCATACAATTCATCTACAAAATTTTATGGAAAAAACATCAATGACAATTAAAGAAAAAAAAGTTACACAAAGACAGATTCCAACTCCTTGGGGATAATTTTCAGACATTCATTGAATGAATTATGAAACTTTTTCTTTTAAAAGTAAAATAATCACAAAAAATCATGCTTTCATTTGTTTAGAAAGAAAAAGAAAACTACGTCTGAACTTTACTATCAACAACAAATATGATTTGAATATTATAGTTTGATTGTACAAAGCATAATTAGTAATCGATTCATCATTTTCTAAGCTATTCGTACACAGTACTGATGTTTGAAAGATAAATTTTCTGTGTATCTAATTCATAGTGACTATCTTTCAAATGTAGTGAACATGTTTTGATGATGATAGGTAGTAAAGATTTTAAAATGTTTATTTTATTTAATTGTAGGCTTGTAAAAACTGGATCTGGTTGAATTTTAATTCATTGACAAACATTGATTACATTAAAGCTGCCTGTGTATTTCGATTGCTAGTTATTATTATCTATTTGACTAACGATTTACGTCTATAAAACTATGATAGTTATTGAAATATTATTTACTTGCACCATTACTCTCCTCCCTTGTAGGAGCATACGTCCCCACCAGTATTCTCCATTAAACTCTGTCCTGAAAACTTCTTTCCAGTTATCTCCAGTTGTTATTCATCCTATTCGTGTTTGCTTCCAATTCTCAACACAATTTATTCTCTGACATTCCTCTTTTCCATTTCCCTTTAAGATTCCAAGTTATCTCGTGCCTGATGCAGTTTGATGATTTTCTTAGTGTATGCCCTATCCACCTTCTTGAAATATAATATATCATAAATTCCTTTTCAAATCGTCATAGTAAATTTAACGGGTTAGTGCCAGTTGTGTTATTACTGCAGAGTTCATATATATATTATGTATTTGAGACATCCCTACTTGTTGTGCACTTTTATATGTGAATGATTCAATAATAGCCTATTTAAAAAATTCAATGTTGATTAAAATATTGTCTGATAGAATGAAAAAAGAGTCCAAGAAAATCTTTCCATTTGGTGGGAAAAAATACATCATAAAATCTAGATTAACAGATTTCTATAATCAATGGAATGTATCGACGTTAAACTAGAGTTATTACGAAACATATGTATACTTAAAAGTTTTGAAAAAATCCCTTGAATTTAACTGTGACGAAGTTTGTACAAAATAAGAAAGATTAATTTAAAATAATGATACGTTATTACATCTAGTGAATATATTGTTGTTGATTTCAACCACAATAATATCCACTGTTGATCTATACCAAATGCACCTAAGGATTTTCAGGTTCTTCACTAATTATAACATCATTTAGTCTTGAAAACAGATACCACGAGTCAACATCTTTCAGTTAACGATAAAAATAAGTATTAATATCAGAAGGGGTTTCTGTAGATATTATAGTAATTTCAAAAGTTGAGATCATGGGTCAATTGAAGCTAGACCACCATGGAAAACCCGAAAGCACTGGATGGCTGTTTTGTTCTATTATGTGACTCCTCAGCAGTAATAAGTATTGACAATTACATGAATTCCATCCCTTTTGAAATTGAAGTCAGTTTTCAATGAATATTAATTTTAACAAAATTATATTTTTAAAATATACTTTGTGAAATGAGAGAATAAGCAATTAAATTAACTTCATTTTATTGGTTATTTGAATATTCCTTTCGTTGTTTAGGAGTGAAATCGATCAGTCTCTTGTTCGCATATGTGTATCCTGCACGGATTGTTTCGATATTGTTATTAAGTCACAGACATCGTTAAGCAGAGATGAATAGCTAAGTGGATAAAGCGATGGTGTTTGTGACGAACAGTACTAGGATCAAGTCATAGAGTAGATCTTGGCTGAGCCATTTGACGAGTCCCAAATAGGACGAAACGCGCGTTCTGGATCCCACTGCTGTCCATAACACATCTTTGTATAAAATTCGAATCACTATTATACATTATATTATTGATTTAGCCTAGTTATTTTAGCTATATGCCGTGTTTTAGTTCAGAGTTGACAGAATTGTTATTTTATAGTATTATAACTGGTTTATATGATTATAGTTATTACTTTGATTGTTTCAACTGACTATACCAGCTTGTTCAATCTTCAATTAGGTCAATGAGGAGAAATAAAATACAACTAATAGAAAGTCATCATATCTTCTATTCAACCAATCAGATCACATCTTTCTGATTCTGTTTCTTTTTGTTTTACCTCAGAATTCTCTCACATGTCTATATTTGTTATCCCTTACCTATAATTTTATGTGCTTTGCCAAATAGGCAGCTTTTAAGATAAAATAGATAAATATACATTAAAATAGTACATTAACTTATTGGGGGCTATTTTTGAACTATTATTAATATTATTATTATTCATATCATTAGTTGTAACATTTTATAGAAATTAACGGATATCGTTTATAATCTTGCAAGGATTTATAACGAAATATATGGATAATTTATTTATTCACAACTCCTTATGGAATTCTTATTGCTAACATCACCATAAATATTGTTACAAGAACTATTTTTAATAATTATATGTGAAGCAATCTTCTATGAAGCCTATGCTGGGTTCTTCTGCTTCAAGCCTCATGAGTGCATCAAGTAGTGGAAGCACTGGTAGTGCACAAGCCTCAGCTGGTCAACACACTATAGCAGCTACACTTACAGCTGTGCATAAAATGGATTCTGAATTACGTTGCCCATCTTGTAGGCGATTTTTCCAATGTCCTTTATTGTTACCATGTGGACATTCCCTGTGCAATTTATGTGCAGCTGGAGCTCTACTCCCCGCTAGCGAACCAAGCATAGCGGCATCGATTGCAGCAGCGCTACACTTATCAACAGCTGAGACATTTAGTCCTGCTAGTGGTCCCCCTCAATCCTCATCCTCGTCTTCATCGACAACAGGAAGTAGTATAGGTTGTCCCAGTACTTCTAACTCACAAGGAAACACACAGATTATGGGTTGTACTTCCATCATACCTTCAGATTCTGATCAAATGAGTGTTGTTAGCGAAACAGATTCTGGTGTAATTGTTAGCAGCCGACCAGGTAGTTATGTGGGAAGACTACCCGTTATAATATGTTCATCAACCTCAGGTTTAGGTCCAAGTCAAACCTACAGTATCTCTTCATCTTCAATAAGTCAAGTTTCAAGTGGCTTAATATGTCCTATATGTAACCACGTCGTTGGTCTTTTTGATGATAAAGGGCTAAGCCATCTCCCGAGAAATCGTGCTCTTGAACGGATAATATCTAAATTTGTAGGCCCTGATCAGTCACATCATTCATTAAAAGTGAGTGCAGACTTGGAACCATTTTTATTAAACAATAACACAGACCCAATTAATAGACCAGGTGGACCACTTTGTCAGTTATGTGAAGAACCTAATATCCCAACAGAAAATCCATTATCTTCAGAAACCAATGAGACTGAAGTGATTGAACAAAATTGTTTAGCAACATTTTGGTGTGAACAATGTGAAATATTTTATTGTACACGATGTCGTGAAAAATGTCATCCAGCTCGTGGACCATTAAATCGTCATGCATTACATTCAGCAATTGAAGGTGTAAAAATAATTAGACAAAAACAACGTAATCAACCTACACCATGTATGTCACATTTAAATATAATACCAAATTTATATTGTGTTAATTGTCATATACCGGTGTGTAATGAATGCATAAGTAATGATAATTCACAAACATTTGAAACACATTCAAAACATGAAATACTCCCATTGATTGGAGTCTGTAAATCACGGAAAGTAAGTGTGATATTAGTAAATCAGTTGTACTTCGTAACAGTTGGATATTTTATGAACATAGTATTTTCAAATTTATTATTTTAAATTTTAAGCGTATTTTTATCAGTAGCTATGAGTGGTGAGTTTGGTGAACCCTTTATAGTTTAACATATTTTGAATTATAATAGAAAAAAAAGACAAATTATACCAGTTTGAAAGTTTTAAACGTATAACTAAGCAGTTATTTAAATTTAAAACAGAAAACACGAGTAGCTATGCTAATGTTTTATATGATGAAGAAGTAATATTCTTCCGGAAATAACAGCAGCAATGAGCACTGCATAGTTATTTTGTCCCAGTCCATGACTAATCAGAAGCATACAACCACGAAAGACAATTCTATTGGCATTCAAATTTCACGGTAACCATGAAAAAATACAGATGTTGAAGCAGAAATGAAGTAATAGTTAACAAACTAGCTAAATTTTAAAAGTCAAATCATTTGATTCTGACTAAGTAGTCATATTTATATATTTAATCTTATGTTGGGTAGTCAAAACCTAATGACACATTTTTTAAACTTTATTTAACCTGTCCTGAAACTTATTTCAGAACCATTCAGTGTTAACTACAATAGATTCATAAAAATGCATATGATCTTGTTTTTCATCATAGGGATTACCATCCAGTGATTCTTTTTTTTAATTTTTTAAAACTTAATTACAACTAGTAAATATTTAAACAATATACTACTTATTTGAATGAACTTATTATTTTATACAAAAAAAGATAACCCAACTCAAAATTAGTTTCAATAAAAAAAGTGACAAAATTTCAAAATTTCGACAACATTTTATGTTCCATTTTTATCGATTTTCTCTTCTGATGATTTCACGATTTCTATTATATTGACTAACAAAACTTATGATTTTAAAAGTGAATGATAGTAATTCATTTTGTTCATTCACAAAATCACTATTTAATTAATGAACTACTTACTTCCACCTGTTACCTTGTATGGAGGAGCATAGGCCACCTACCAGCATTCTCTATCTAACCCTATCCTGAGAAATCCTTTCCAGTTCTTTCCAGTTGCTTATCATCCTATTCATATCTGATTCCAATTCTCGACGGAGTGTGTTCTTTGACCTTCATCTTTTCCGTTTCTCCTCACGATTCCAAGTTAATGCTTGATTCGTGATGTAGTTTGACGATTTCTTTGGTGTATGTCTTATCCATTCTCACTGTCTTTTCTTCATTTCCTCTTCATCTGAAAGTTGGTTTGTCTTCTCCAAAAAAATTAATATCGTGTTACGTAATGAATAGATTCTACAACTTACTTAAAAATTCATTTATCTAAACTTTTTTTGTCTTACTGTTATCATTATAAGTTATCGAAGAACCTGAAGACTACTTATATAATTCCATATGAATAAGTTAAAATCAATCATTTTCTTTGCATTTTTTTTCAATCAAAATATCAAAACTATACAATTTTAATAAGAGAAAAGATCAATAAAATATAACTATCCATTAAGTATAATCTGATATTTCTCTAACCAAATACCTATCAGTTCATCTTAAAAGTGTTATCAGTCATTATTATCATTACAATTCATGATAAATATGTCTTAGTTTTATATAATTTCAGATCGATTTCTAAACAAATGAAATAATTGATGGAAAATTAACTTTCTTTTTTCTTTTTTCATTTTTCTAATTTTTTTCCTTTAGTATCCAGTTTTATAAAAATCAGACAAATGAATTACTAGACATAGATTAAATGTTCTTTTCTCCTTGGACGACTGTTATTCTCTATTTATTTTTAAATGTTTATTAAGAAAAGTATTCTAGTTCATTTATTCTAGATCTGGATTTTTTCTGTGATTGTTAAAATTTGACACTTTCTAATGATCTAAGGTTTGCTCTGAATTGATTCAGCATTTTATTACTGGTCAAGGAAATAAGAAGAAATATGGGAGAACGTAGATAAGATAGTTTTAGACTTATTTAATTTAAACAATAAAGTTGTTCATCTGAATCATTGAATTCTGATTCAGTAATCTAACGTTCCCATTGTCTACAATGATTCATTAATGTCCTGACTTTTATCTAGTGTAAGGTTGCGTGTGTGTATGAATTCCTATAAGGTTCTAAACTTGTGCAAAACATCTGTTTAATTTTAATTCTTCATCGATGAATCTTCCATTAGTGTCAGTTTATGATGTAAACAAATATAAAAGTAACCAACCTGAAATCAAACATAATAATTAGTCATATATAACAAATGTACAGTAGTGATATTTCTATAAAACAATGAGAAGATGCGATTGATCTAAAAAATATGATGTATTCACACCATACATTTCGAACAATCTGATCACACCTATACTTGTCAAGGCATTTTATATGAAAACTAATAAAGGTCAGCTAAATAAAGGTTCAGGTAAGCAAAGTAATATTTGTAAATAAAGGAGAGAGGAAAAAACTAACTTCCTATAGAAAGAATAGAAGATTGTCGCATTACCCCAGGCTATAAAATGACATGAGAATTTCCAGGGTAAATTCAAAGTTGGGAAAATTTGGTTTTGAACAATAACATCACGTTTTTCAGATCAACTCCGTCATCTTAGTGATATTTCTCATTTGTACATGTGTGAATCATTCAAGACACTGAGATTCATTGTTGCTTTATGTGTATACAATTTTTCGCTATACATATCGATGTTTGCTTAATAAAATGCTATCTATTATCAATCTAATAATCGATAATCAATAGAGATATTCCTTTTATTACATTGCATTCATTAAAACAGCTATACAAATGGAAATACGTTAATCAGTAGATTGATTTTCTTACTCAGAACTTTTGGTAAATAATTTTAGATTTAAAGGTACCACCCAAACATTCGATTAGAATTTATATTATTAAGAGCGTTTCTGAACAATTACCTTCCTAATAAATACTATTAAAACAAAATAATTTTGTTAATATACTGACAAAATCAGTTTAGAGAAGTGACCTTAATAGAAAAAAAAGGTTTTAATGGAGTTAATGCTTCCGTTAAAAAAATCTATATCAGTTACTATTCTATACCAACTATTGATTTCTTTGACATAAGAACGTTTTCTCATAAAAAAATGACACAGTCTATGAATGTTTAGAATAAAAAGTGGGAAGCATATTTTGAAAAAATAAATTATGACGTTCTCATAGTTCTCTATTTTACAGGGTTTTTTTTAAATTAATTAAAAGTGAATTTTGAGTTCAGTATTTTCGTTTTACTCTATAGGCATCATAGTTTATCCTTATTTTATTTTTAAGTCGTTGTTTCACATTAGAAAAAAATTAGATTTTGTCAGTAACTATTAGCTTCTAATAGTCATGGATACTAATATTCGACTAAATTGTGTAATATTTCTGCAGTCGGATAATGATTATCACTTGAAGTAATAATTATCTTTATTACTAAGTTCTGTATATTCAAAAAACTAATGAACATTATTTCTAACAATAATAAACTTCTAGATCGATTATTACATAATATAACCATTTGTCACATCTTTTTAATACACAATATAATAGAGAATAACTGAATTTCTTTTTAACGAAATATTAAAATCTTTTCACAAAATGCTTAGTCATAAACTAAGACTTTTTTCAATTTCTATTTTATATAACGTTTCATTAGAAGAAAAAAAACAATAACCGATAAAGTATATATTCCACTTTTTATTTTATGTAATGTTGATGTATTACAAGTATCAAGGGACATGAATTCATACTGATCGTTTTTATTCTATTATGAAATCATATTTTATGTGATTTCAGTATAGACAATGATTTATGTATATTTGCCGACTAGTATATATATATATATATATATATATATATATATATATATATATATATATATATATATATATATATATATATATATATATATATATAAATTCAACCATTGATTTATGAAAGAACATCAAACTATTCAACACTATTGTTAATCTGGATGAAATTAATTTTATTTCAGTCAAAGTTTATTTACTTAAATATTTGTATATATATTTTTAAAATTTATTTATGTATTCTCATTGACTAAGCAAAAAGAAACTGGCTTTTATGTGATTTATTATGTAATACATAAACTATAAAGAGTTTCATTAGATATTAATTTTTGTTTTGTTGGATTTATTGGACATTACTTCAATTAATGTATATTGTGTAGTTGTACATGAATAGCAATATGAAATTCTTAGTTTTAGTTGCTTTTATTGAATAGTTAATTTATAATAACGTATTAAATTCACTTGATATTGTTTACTTGAATTTTCCCATTGATGTTTAGGACTGAAATTGATTAGTCTCTTGTTGGTATATGTGCATAATGTGCAGACTGACTCGTAATTGCCATAAGCTCACAAGCTTTATAAGCAAAGATGGATGGTGGCTAGCAGTGGAAGAAATGTGTGTTCTGGAGTTCACTGCTAGGCACTATCCAATTTTTCTTATAATGCTAACGTAATCTGTATAGATTTGAAATGTGGCTGGGGACATTGGAATTTATCTACTAATAAATTTCGCTTCATCAATTCAAGAGTGCTGTATTTAAATTAAGACGTGAATATTCTGAGTTTTACTTTATGTAGAGCTGTGCGTACATAATATTGAGTACCAAATAACTGAGACGAAATAACTTTCTATTGTTCATTATATTCTAATAGTACTACACAGGATGTCAGTCAGTGACGAGAAATAGACTGAAATGTGTTTTGGGATGTAAACTTATGAATATAATTGTCAGTAGCTATGCTTGAACAGGATATTCATACATTTAGAGTTGGTGGATTCTTCTTTATGTATCACAATGTAATATGTAATCAACACAGTTTAAACTAATAACTAACACCAAATATTCAGGCCACCTAAACATTTGCGCATCAGGCTTTTAATAAAATGTATTAAATTTATTATGGTTTAATCCTGCTATTTCAGTGTTGTTTTTTAAAGAACTATTTACAAC